CCTCTGGTAATTGAACCTGGAAAAAAACTTGAAATATATCCATGTCTAAGGCATTGTCCCTTCAGAAACTTAGGATGCCCCCTTGCCAGTCCGGTCCCATGGGTCAATGAAGTCCTCTGTGGTCCGATAGGTCCTTGTAGTACACACATACATTCATAAGAATGCATATATAAACATATACATATGCATGTATACATACTACCGTAGATGGACGAAATATTCAAACCCCTCCTATCCGGTACAACCCCCTCGCCCCCAAAGTTCAATGTTAATGTAGCCTGAAGTGCATTAGCCCCAATGGACGAAAAAAATCAAGCCCCTAACATCACTTTTGCTAACACGCGCGCTGAAACATTGAGATTTGGGGGGTGTGGGGGTTCAACATAGTGCGTGCTGCAGGGTTTGAATATTTTGTCCATCTACTGTCTCGCTCTCTGATGTTTTCACATCTTTTGGTCTCCAAACTCTGTTGTGGAAACATCACTCTGCATGCTGCTGATCTTATTCCAAACTGCGCAAAACATTGGCTTTTCACAAGTAAATGCCTTCTGTCTGTCTCCCGTCCCATTTTTTCTATTCCCTAATTCGCAACTTATTCCTAAAGTGCACAAAACATTGTGTTTTCACAGGTAAGTGCAACCTTTGTGCTTCCCGTCCCATTTTTTTCTATTCCCTAATTCGCAACTTATTCCAAACTGCAAAAAACATTGTGTTTTCACGGGTAAATGCTGCATGTGTCTCTCGTCCCATTTTTTCCTACTCCCTAATTCACAACTTATTCCAACATGCGCAAAACATTGTGTTTTCACAGGTAGATGTGCATGTCTCTCTCGTCCCATTTTTTCCTATTCCCTAATTCACGACTAATTCGTTTGACGTGGCCTTGCCAATGGATTATGTCATTTGTGACGTGCTGCTTCTTCTTAAGATAAAAATATTTCCTTCTTTTAATTAGGAGCTGTCTCATGCTGTTCAAGTTGCAAAATCCATTGGCAGGGCTACGTCAAACGAATTAGTCGTGAATTAGGGAATAGGAAAAAATGGGACGAGAGAGACATGCACATCTACCTGTGAAAACACAATGTTTCGCGCATGTTGGAATAAGTTGTGAATTAGGGAATAGGAAAAAATGGGACGAGAGACACATGCAGCATTTACCTGTGAAAACACAATTTTTTTTTGCAGTTAGGAATAAGTTGCGAATTAGGGAATAGGAAAAAATGGGACGGGAAGCACAAAGGTTGCACTTACCTGTGAAAACACAATGTTTTGTGCACTTTAGGAATAAGTTGCGAATTAGGGAATAGAAAAAAATGGGACGGGAGACAGACAGAAGGCATTTACTTGTGAAAAGCCAATGTTTTGCGCAGTTTGGAATAAGATCAGTAGCATGCAGAGTGATGTTTCCACAACAGAGTTTGGAGACCAAAAGATGTGAAAACATCAGAGAGCGAGGCAGTATCAACTGGGGTGTGCGGCATGCCGCACACCCCAGTTGGTACCGTAGATGGACGAAATATTCAAACCCCTCCTATCCGGTACAACCCCCTCGCCCCCAAAGTTCAATGTTAATGTAGCCTGAAGTGCATTAGCCCCAATGGACGAAAAAAATCAAGCCCCTAACATCACTTTTGCTAACACGCGCGCTGAAACATTGAGATTTGGGGGGTGTGGGGGTTCAACATAGTGCGTGCTGCAGGGTTTGAATATTTTGTCCATCTACTGTCTCGCTCTCTGATGTTTTCACATCTTTTGGTCTCCAAACTCTGTTGTGGAAACATCACTCTGCATGCTGCTGATCTTATTCCAAACTGCGCAAAACATTGGCTTTTCACAAGTAAATGCCTTCTGTCTGTCTCCCGTCCCATTTTTTCTATTCCCTAATTCGCAACTTATTCCTAAAGTGCACAAAACATTGTGTTTTCACAGGTAAGTGCAACCTTTGTGCTTCCCGTCCCATTTTTTTCTATTCCCTAATTCGCAACTTATTCCAAACTGCAAAAAACATTGTGTTTTCACAGGTAAATGCTGCATGTGTCTCTCGTCCCATTTTTTCCTATTCCCTAATTCACAACTTATTCCAACATGCGCAAAACATTGTGTTTTCACAGGTAGATGTGCATGTCTCTCTCGTCCCATTTTTTCCTATTCCCTAATTCACGACTAATTCGTTTGACGTGGCCTTGCCAATGGATTATGTCATTTGTGACGTGCTGCTTCTTCTTAAGATAAAAATATTTCCTTCTTTTAATTAGGAGCTGTCTCATGCTGTTCAAGTTGCAAAATCCATTGGCAGGGCTACGTCAAACGAATTAGTCGTGAATTAGGGAATAGGAAAAAATGGGACGAGAGAGACATGCACATCTACCTGTGAAAACACAATGTTTCGCGCATGTTGGAATAAGTTGTGAATTAGGGAATAGGAAAAAATGGGACGAGAGACACATGCAGCATTTACCTGTGAAAACACAATTTTTTTTTGCAGTTAGGAATAAGTTGCGAATTAGGGAATAGGAAAAAATGGGACGGGAAGCACAAAGGTTGCACTTACCTGTGAAAACACAATGTTTTGTGCACTTTAGGAATAAGTTGCGAATTAGGGAATAGAAAAAAATGGGACGGGAGACAGACAGAAGGCATTTACTTGTGAAAAGCCAATGTTTTGCGCAGTTTGGAATAAGATCAGTAGCATGCAGAGTGATGTTTCCACAACAGAGTTTGGAGACCAAAAGATGTGAAAACATCAGAGAGCGAGGCAGTATCAACTGGGGTGTGCGGCATGCCGCACACCCCAGTTGGTACCGTAGATGGACGAAATATTCAAACCCCTCCTATCCGGTACAACCCCCTCGCCCCCAAAGTTCAATGTTAATGTAGCCTGAAGTGCATTAGCCCCAATGGACGAAAAAAATCAAGCCCCTAACATCACTTTTGCTAACACGCGCGCTGAAACATTGAGATTTGGGGGGGGTGGGGGTTCAACATAGTGCGTGCTGCAGGGTTTGAATATTTTGTCCATCTACTGTAGTGCATATGTATCTATCTATATAATCATATATATATATATATTTGCCCACATATATATATATAAGATTATATAAGGTAGATACCCTGCAGCATATGTTTTTTTTGCTGGTGAGTGCATATTCCCATTTATAGCACGGTCTCTTGTCGGACAGTCTCTTGCTGGACAGTTCCCATTTGTGGCAAAAGATTCCGTGTGAAAAAAGTAGACAACGAGTTGGTTAACCGTCAACCCAAATATCATCATATCATGTGTCCATAAATGGGGGATCCTCAAAATGGTTGGTTTATAATGAATAATCCTATGAACATGGATGATTTAGGGGTACCCCCATTTTATATAGGAAACCTCCATGTGTGGTGGTTCAACCCTAGAAACAATGGTCACCCTCCACATTTTTGGATGGTTGGCCCAAATTGGCTCTGAAAATCAGCATCCAATGGGTTATTCACGGTTCTTCTCATGTTCCCATTTAAAAGGACAGAAAATCCCATGGAAAATCCAGTCTGACATCATCCCTTAAAATAGTACAAAAGAATGGTTTCGAACATCATTTTCCATCCAAATCCTATGGTCAATTTGGGGTATCCCCCATTGGCCACAGCCATGGCAGTCTCCGCATGTCCCAAGTGGCGATAACCTCCGCATCGTGTCTCCACCGGGAAAAAAAAAACACCGGCCCCGGCCCAACGGCCTGATGTTGAGAGGGGAGCAGTAGGAAAGGCGGTCCAATATGCCATGGTATGCCCTAAAAATCCCTAAAACCAATCTAAAAATCCAATTTAGTTAGGATCTAAATGCATCTAAAACGATGTAAAATGGCCCTTTTAATGGAAAACTCATTATTGTTTTTCGCCAAAATGGCTCGTTTAAATGGGGAACTTATAGAGATGTTGTGCAAAATTGCTCTTTTAAATGGAGAAATGATGAGAAATGTATAGAGGTGTTATTATGCAAAATGGCTCATTTTTATGGAGAAACTTCTAGAGATTGTATGCAAAACGGCTCGCTTTTTAATGGGGAAACCAGTAAAGATTACATGTAAAATGGTCCTTTTTAAGGTGAACACTTGATAATAAAGATTTGATGTAAAATGATGGTGTCACGGGGAACCGGATGATAGACCATGCGACTTTGATGTATGCATCTCATGTTCGGGGCAATCGCAACATATCTTGCAGCTTCAGAAAGTGTTCATCGTGTTCAACTTGTTTTTTTTCCAACAGAAGCAGGATGAAGGTTGTTGTATTTGATGGTGAGGATTCTCCATTGTGTTCGAACCCATATGTTTTCCATGTATTTCCCCAAAACAACATAAAACATCCGTGTTTTTTATTGTTTCCAGTGCATCACCAATCACTGGTAAAGGCTCAAACAAAAGACCTATTTCTCAAGCAGCCTGGATCACAGACTTCCCAGGCACCTCTATCCACTGACGGTCATCCCCACAGGCACTCCCCAAATTCTGGAACCAAACTCTGCGGGGACCGAAAAGGTGCTTTTTGACACCACGAAGTTACTCTGCCCTTTTGAAGATAACCTCTGGTAAACTAACATAGCTATTGAAAATGGCCATTTATAGTGGATTTACCTATTGAAAATGGTGATTTTCCATAGCTACGTTAAATTACCAGAGGGTAAACCATATGAGTCATATGAGCCTCAAGTACCAGCTTCAAGGCTAGCTGCAAGTTTGATCATGTGCCAGGCTGGTGGGACCCACCCCTCATGGGCATCCCCAACGCACTTGCGCGCTGTACGCGCAGCGCGCTTCAGGAGGCTTCTCCTGCAATCTGATGGCTGGTAGATGCTGGTTGTCATCCATCTGCATCCAGATGGGAAAATCATAGCTATTCTATTGCATATTTATCATTCTTTATCCACATATCCAAATGATTTATGATCATTCTGAATCATTCTCCACTTTCTTAGTGCTTAAATCATTTAATTAATTTACATCCCCATGTTTGATGGATTAATCCATGGTGCCATGGTGCCACGTCGGTGCACATCCTGCAAGCTGTACTTCTGCGCAGTCCGCAAATGGGCTTGCATCTCGAGACCTGGAGAGCGGCTCGCTGGGGCCTTGAAGGACACATCCAGATGTCTTCAGGAAAAAAAGTGACTCCAAAAATGGCACCATTTGGGGGGGAAAGCAATGAATTTGGGTGATTAATCATTATCATCCATTATCTAGTATCTACTCTTGCAAGTTTGATCAGTTTGAAGGGGAAACCAATGAATTTTGGTGATGCCCGACCTTTTTTTGACGCCTAATCCACAGCTTCTCTGGGGATTTCTCTTGAGTTCAACCCAGAGCTCCCGACGCTGACGCTGTCGTGCCTCGGACCACAGTCATCAACGCTTCGATATGTGGGATTGGATCCCCAAAATCCCAACAGATACCCTCTGGTTATGACTAACATAGCCATGGAAAATCCCTTATAAATGGAGGTTTCTAGCTGGGAAAATCATCTATTTCTATGGGCCATCTATACCATGGCTATGTTAGTCATAACCAGAGGGTAAAAGTTGCAACTCCAAGTCAGGGCCCAAATTCCTGGAGCCACAGGCCAACTGGGTCTCTAGCATAGAGGCTTTCACCCATGCTCCCACGGCAGGTGTGTAGGTAGTCCAACCTGGAACTGTGCTGCAGAACCACACAAGTTTGGTCATTTTTAGTACTTGTTTCACTGAACCTTCCAATTTTGGGGCCAAAGTGTCATGAAACGGAACGTCTGCCAGCTTGGCTGACTATTTTATTTTGTTGCAATATCTTCCAGAAGTTGGGGAGTCCAACGTAACCCACGAGTCATGCCCCGTGTGAGGAGGTATATAATATAGCCTGTATTCTGCACAACTGTATATATATAATATATATATAATTATATATATATATAATTATATATATAGCTTGTATTCAATAGTCTATGATGATACATCTATACAAAATTTGTGTGTGTGATTGTGTGTCTTTGCTTATTTATACCAATGTCATCGACAAAAACTTGGGGATCATCATACAACATCTCTGAGATCTCCAGCCGTTCCAGCAGATGACTTCTAACCTCCTCCGCCTAGTCGGGATGAAAACGAATGGTTTACCATGGTTTACCATGGTAAACCTTGGTTTACCTTGTGAGCAAACAAGAGAATCCCCCAGTTTCACTAGGATCATCATCTATGGGTCATCATCTTTGCAAGTGGGTGATCTTCAATTTCCATGTTGCATAGCCGCAGGCATCGTTTTTTGGGCCTCAAAGCGGCAAGTGAATCTTGGCAGGTCAATATCTCAGCATCTGCTGAGATCTCAAAATGGCAGGGCAGGAGAGCTCCGTGAACTACCACGAAAGCCCACCCTGCACGTGCCAATCAGGGCATATCGCTCTAAGGGGCAGAGAAGATGGCCTTTGCCTTGACATAAAGTGCCTTGCCCTGAGCAGTTTTCCCATTCACAGAATCCCTTGATGCCCAATTCCTTCCTGACCTTCTGCTCGGCCTCCAAGCAGAGATGTTGGCTGTGCTTTGCTCACAATGCGGCCCTGGTCTTCATGAGGTCGGATCGAGAATGCCCTGATGAAGACCTCATGGCTTCTTGCCTTTGAAGACAGCAATCTTTGCTCGGTTGCCGCGCGCAATCTTGCTAACTGATCTAACTGCCTTCTTCTTCATCACGGTCTTCGCCGCCTTGATGTTGGCTTCGCCGCCTTTTTCATTGACTTCATCGCAGACTTCATCACGGACTTCTTCATTGGGAGAGCCATGCTGAAGAAAATGAGGCTGTCGATGCGAAATGTGGCAGGACAAGATAAGAGCGAGCTTGAGCCAAATTTTGGGTGAACCCAAAGCATCTTCAATGACCTACAAAAAGGAAATACATCTTGGTTTTAGGCTACACAACTACAAGAAAAGAGCATTCCATAGAAACATGTTCAACTTAATTAGTCTAATCCTACCCCCTAATATCAAATACCCCATTGCATGGTCTCAAATATGTGTTTTTATCGCCTCCTAAAGCATGGTTTCTGAGGACTCACAGCGATGCCTCGGAAGCTTCCCGAAGGTAGTGTTTCCTGGCCGCTTCGGAGCAGAGCACCGGTGCTGATTTTATCCGGTATGGAGACGGAATAAATATATAAATATCAATGGGAATATCCCAACAAAATATGGTCTTATATGGTACAGTACCTCCATTTTAGGATCCTGAAATTCCCATTGATAGATAGGGCTAGACATAGACAATGATCGGTCTGTGTGTATTTGTTCCAAAACTTGAGTAGATTTGAGTAGAACAATCAGTGATGTAAATACATACACACACACATGTGGTCTTGGGCCTATACATACATGTAAGTATTCATCTATATGATTATACGACAAATGATAGGTATACCGCTAGGAATCAGGCGCGGCAAAAACACACCCATACTTTTTGTGTAGGGTAGGTGATGGCACTCCGCCCACATCAAACATGGGATAAACTGCTGTGGTGATGGCAAGAAGGGTTTGGAGGAGGAAGACATGGCATGTCCACATTGCTCATTTCTGCTCTATCCGGCCCTTGTGCTGATTAAGCAAGCATATTTTGGTGGTTACCATCTGGTTATGACTAACATAGCCATGGAAAATCACCATTTTTAATAGGTAAACCCAGGTAAACCATCTATTTCTATGGGCCATCTATACCATGGCTATGTTAAATAACCAGAGGGTAAATCCAATCTATCAATCTGGTGTTCGTGAAATCCGACCAGAATCGCCAGTGTTGAGTCATCCGTTGTGACCTAAAAACGAACCAATCTGAGTCCATCGTGTTGCTGAAAACAGAATCCAAAAAAAAAGTCATCGTTTTTTTTTCCAGGACTAATCATTAATATCATGAATATCATGAATATCATGAATATCATGAATATCATGAATATCATGAATATCATGATTCAGTATTGAACATGGTGATTTTCCATTGCTTTTTGTGTCAAATTATAAATTGCCCGGGAAAAATCCCCTAGTCCATGGGTACCTCCGAGGTGACTGCAACTCTGCGAGGTACTCACCAGCCCTGGGATGGGTGATTCATGGCGATTTCTATGCTAGTTAGACAAATTATATATTATATAAGTATATTATATTATAACTATATAACTGAGAATTGGAGACTAATCTCATACAACATCATACAACTATATAACATTATATAATATAACTAAGTATGATTTATGACAATAATAATCCATTGTTTGGCCATGGCACAAAGTTGATGGTTTCATATATCTATGTGGATGATTTAAGTCTGTTGATTCTGATTTTGGGTTTTTCTATGGGGATTCACCCTTGGAAACGTGAGGATTTCATCAAGATTGGGATTTGAAAGTGAGGGATAAAATCACCACGAGATGGAGGAAATTAACATAAATTAACCAATTTCTGATGATTTGGGAATATCAATGAATATCAACATGCAAGTCAGCTGTCGGATTGAACCATGGATTTGATTTGACCATCAACCAGCAGTTTTCGCTTTGTTGAGACAAATGGGGGATACAAACCAAAATGGCAAGCAAGTAGCATAGAGTTAAAATGACAAACATATAAACATTATATTATGGTGATGTTTCATTGATGAAGAATCATCGCAAGCCCATCAAGATGTCAGAAACTTTTCGATCAACCCCTGATCTCCATTCTTTCAGTTCATTGCTATGTTTCCGAAACTTGATATTCTGATTCTCTAATTACAATCCAGTAAGCAGCTGAAAATCCTGGTTTCTTCACGGCAGAATCATGAACTAGTAACTGAGAAATTTCCTGGCAGGATCATGGGGAGCGCAAGCATGGTTAAAAAATTGCACCCTCAATCGCCTTCCAAAATCTCTACCCTCTGGTAATTTAACATAGCTATTGAAAATGGTGATTTATAGTGGATTTCCCATTAAAAATGGGGATTTTCCATAGCTATGTTAAATAACCAGAGGGTACCAGTAAGTTGTAAGGACTTCTGGTCGAAAAAGTCACATCAAGCCACTGCAGCAAGGGCCTCTCGGATTGCGCGAGCTTCCGCCCATGCAGTCGCCTCTCAGCTTTGCGCGTGGCCAGAGTAAACCTCGGTGTGGCCCATCCCAAGGCCTCGCCAGTCGCCGGCACAACCTTTTGGCCAAGGCAGGCCAAGGCCAAATCAGTTGAGTGCGCAATATTTGCCTGCTATACTGCTATATATGTAGAATGAAATCCTAGTAATCCCAGACCTGTTGAACATCAACACCTCGATTCCCATACCAATCATCATCAATAATCTAGTCGTAATAGACATTAGTAACCTATAAACACCTATAAACACCTTCAAAAAAAACATGAAAAACACCTCAAAAACACCTATCCACACCCTATAAACACCTATAGTTTTTCACGAATCCGCCTGCTTGCCCCGGTCGTATCCATGTGGATCCAGGCTCATCAGCGGCCACCGTTGGGTCCCCGTTGAGGTCATAGTGCTGCCTCGCCAAAGTCCTGCAATTTGAATGGCTAAAGCGATTTGGAACAAATCCACCATGCAGGACTTAATATACTGTTAATAATGGTTAATATATGGTTATATATGGTTATTATATAGTTCATGATGGTTAATAATATATAACTGGTTGGTGGAGCAATGTGCCCATCTTGAAAAATGATGGAGTTCGTCAATGGGAAGGATGACATCCCATATATGAAATGGAAAGTAAAACATGTTCCAAACCACCAACCAGCATGGTATTTACCATCTGGTTATTTAACATAGCCATGGTATAGATGGCCCATAGAAATAGATGGTTTAGCTATTAATAGCATGGTGATTTTCCATGGCTATGTTAGTCATAACCAGATGGTAACATCACATGTAGCTGCTACATGGGGATACGGCCGGATGCCCACCATGGAATTTTATGGATGGACGCCATTTGACATCACTCGATCCATGGCAACATCACTCCTGGGCTGCCGGTCGATGCCCGCTAAATCGCCATTGCCTCAGACATGCGAGATGTTTCCTCAGCAGTGTCGTTTAAGGAAAAGTGACCATAAGATCCATTGCCTCACCCCGTCACCCCGAAACAAAGTGACCATAAGTCATTGCCTCACCCTGAAATAGGGGTGAGATGGGGTGACTGAGAAGATCGCCTGAGGTTTCGCCCCATTTCACCATCTCAAAAAAGCCACCTGAGTCCCATGCGATGGTCTTGGCCACCCTGCCGCGCGCCAGAAGTCACGTAGCTGGAAACTGCTAGTGCCAAAATGTGGTTGGTATATAGTAACACCCAAAAAGATAGATAAGTAATTGCACACTATTGCAGTAGGATTTTACTTTCTCTATCTGATTCTATCTTTGGGGATTTTACGAAATATACCAAACAATTTGACAGGAACGTGGGTATCATGGGTCATGCGGTTGGCTGCCGCAAAACTTTCGTTGATTCAATATTGATCGACTGCCTGTGCCAAACATTATAAAACAATATAAAACACATGTCTTCCTCTTAAAAGCAGATAAGTGAATCGTCAATTCTATAATCCAGACATCTCCAAACTAATTACCCTTGCAGTTAAAAAAAACTGGGACGCAGGGCAGTGCCATTGGCCCACCCAAACCTGGAGGGATGCCATCAACTTATCCAGATTTTGCCTGCAGCTCTCAAGAAGACATCCCAAGACCCTGTAGACTGCAGCAGAGGATCACCCTGGGCTGCAGACCGAAGGCTTTTTGGGCCGGTCAACTGCAGGCCTCACAAGATTCGAGGCAAAAGGTTGTGGAAAAATCTGGTCAAGCGACACGTAAAAATCCCAACCACCATACCAGCAGCTCACTGGACTCAACTATCCGTTGTTCTGCCCTTTTCAACATGATTCCACCTGTCTCACTCATAGTTTTTCAGGTAACCGGACGTGGTGGTGTCTTCGTTCCGATAGGCCTGGTGGTAGCTTGTGCCGAAGGCACATTCTTGGTACTCTACACCCAAAATGAAGTACACGCCCATAGGCCACGAGGAGACAAACCAATGAGTTTCAAATTAGTATCAGAGTCCATGCACAATCTGGTCTGTCAGAAATCGTTGTTCTGGACAGTGGCCAAATGAAAGTGGAGAAATTAAGGAAGGCATTGGAAAAAAACTTCTGATTGCTGCAAGTTGCCTTGCTTGGAAAAGGGTATCGTGAAAGAAAGTTTGCTGCCTTCAATATTTCTGAGTCAAAATGCTACACATCAAGGGACAACGTGACCGAAGCATGCAACAACGCGCTAGGCTAGGATCTTTTCGGGAGTTTGATGTTCTCTTTATACGCAAATTATGGTACACTTAATATCCATCTTATATAACTACTGATGGAAAACTGAAAATAGTTGAAACCACCAACTAGCATAGTCATGTCGTTGGTGTTCTGTAGTTTTCCTGCTTGATCGGATCGCTGTTTCACTCTACGTTGTTCTCAAACTAGCCTCTGGCAATCTAACATAGCCATTGAGACCATGCCTTATAGATTCTGAATAATTCTGATAGGGAAATCATCTAAAAAGGGGCAATATGGGGCAATTGTCCATGGCAAACCCGTATGACTCGTCAGAGGGTCTCCAGTGACGACTCGTCATAACCCAGTTGGTCACAGCCGACCGGACCGGACCGGACCGGCACCTCACGTCTCTGGGAACCTCTCAGGTCGAGAAAGAATGTCAGTTTTCACTATCTTCTTGTCATGTTCGTTATGAATTGTTAATATAAGTTTTAAGCATTTGTAAGTATTATATGTATATAGAGAGAGAGAGATTATCATGTCTATGTTCTTATTCATCAATATCGTTGTAGTTACTTATAGTATCATCATCACAGTTCGAATGAGGGAGCCAAACATTTTCTGGTGGTTTGTGTTCTGCTCTGGGATTGAGTGGCGTTTGCCCTCTGCATATTTGTATGTTCAGAACTCCTACAGCATGTTCCCCTCATCAACCGTCCGCCGTCCAAAGGTTGTCAAAACTGAAATGGAACCTCCAAAACCGATGACTTTCGAAGATGCTTCTTCCAAGATTAATGATGGTTAATGATGGTTAAGATCATATACATTATATATATATATATTGTATTATATAATATAATATAATATAATATAATATAATCTTCATTTATCCTCCAGAAGATTCAGAACCCCAACCCCCAACCCGAAGGACCCAACCCCGGGCCCCACCCATCCCAGGACCCCAGGGACCAACAGGGCCCCAGGACCCCAGGGCCCCAGGGCCACGGCACCTGCTTCACCTTGGCAACCGGCATCAGCTGATGGAAGTTCTCCGCCACAAAGTTGCTGCCTAAGGCCTCCCGAATCCACGGCAGCAGCTCCTGCCATTGGGCCATGGCCAGGGGTCAAGTTGTTCTCCAAAAGAAAACGTTGGGGCCAAGTTTTTTTTTGTCAGTGGTGTTTTCGAGGAGGTAGAAGGCCCAAAAATCCATGGTTTCGTTCCGCGTCAAAATAGGTCAACTGTTGCTTTGGACCGTTGGAAATTGGTGAAAACTTGGTCAAACTCCTTGAGCGTCAGCAGATTGGTGAGGTGGGTCAAACATCTCGGTTTCAACAAATTACACCCGCAAGAGACCCAAAAAAATGGGGTTGAGGATGACGAGGATGACGAGGATGACGATGACGATGACGATGATGATGATGACGATGATGATGATGATGATGATGATGACGATGACGATGACGAGGACGATGACGAGGACGACGACGATGATGATGATGATGATGATGACGAGGACGAGGACGAGGACGATGGAGAGGACGATGACGATGACGATGACGATGATGATGACGATGACGATGACGATGACGATGGTGATGGTGATGATGATGATGATGATGATGATGATGATGATGATGATGATGATGATGATGCTGATGCTGATGCTGGTGCTGGTGCTGGTGCTGGTGCTGGTGCTGGTAGTGGTGGTGGTGGTGGTGGTGGTGGTGGTGATGAGGAGGAGGAGGATGAGGATGAGGAGGAGGAGGAGGAGGAGGATGAGGATGAGGATGAGGATGAGGATGAGGATGAGGATGAGGAGGAGGAGGAGGATGAGGATGAGGATGAGGATGAGGATGAGGATGTTCAGTTCTGTGTATGATGTTCAGAATTCTGTGGATGATGTTCAGAATTCTGCGGATGACGTTCAGAATTCTGTGGATGATGTTCAGAATTCTGTGGACAATGTGGAAGATGATGATGTTTTTCCGGATAATGTTGAGGAAGGTAATGCGCCATTGTATGGTAATTAAGAGAAAACGTGGGCACGTCCAGATCTGACCGCAACAAGCCAGCGTGGATTCACCGCCCTATCAGAAATGAATGTCTTACCTCCTCAGCAAGGCCAAGGCGAAGCAAAACTAAATTAGTATTATAAACTAGAATTTTGTCGGTTGCTCATTTTGCAATTGGAGGTGTCCATAAGCGTCCTAAATTGGGGAACACCCCCAAAATCATAGGATGTATTACATTGTATTACCCTCTGGTAATTTAACATAGCTATTGAAAATTGCCATTTATAGTGAATTTTCCCATTAAAAATGGTGTTGATTTTCCATAGCTATGTAACAAATTACCAGAGGGTACCATCTATTTGGTGGAATCATCCATTAATCCTAGTACCATCCGGGTACCAAGGGTTTGATCCATAATTCCTGGGAGATGGGAGTGGAGATAGGATGTATTACATTGTATTACACTATAAACCATCCAGCTATTGGGGTCCCTGTTGCCCCCCAAATTTCCCACCCACCACCTCCAGGCTGGGCACATCGCTACACTCCACTTCGCAGCGCGAGGCCGGCCGCAGCTTCTGCGCCACGTCGGGCCAGCTTTGCAGGACCTCCTCCCAGACCTGGCGAAGCCGCCGCCGGGAGCTGGCCGTGGAGAGGTTCAGGGGAGAAAATCTATGGGAAGCCCATAGGAAACCCATAGGAAACCCATGTTTTTTACAGTTTGAACCTTGGATTTTTACCATCCAATTCTTTTCCTTGAACCAAAATGATTGATGGTAAAAACCCAGGGATGGTAAAAACTCATGGTTTGATGGTCAATTGTCCCTTTATCCAATGAATCCAATGAGATAGAAATGGATGTTAAGTGGGTTGCAAAAGGGATATTTCACGATAGGATGGTGGTTGACATCCATTAACAAACTAGAAAAGTGGTTGTCCGGACAAGTCTGTGACTTGCATTTTAGTAGGAAGGCGATAGCTGTTTGCAAAAAGGAATTTAGCCATCGACATGTTTGTGCTATCAAAAAGGCTGAAAGAAATGTGAGATCCAATCAAATCTCATTTAGGCACCTGCGAAATCTGCAAAAAATGGACCGTGCGACCATGCGCAAATGATATCAAATGATTATATGATCCCAGATGAATACAGAAACACCCAACATCCCATGGCAAGTGCCCCAGCATTTTGCCATCGATTTTAAGTGGACCTCAGGGTCTTCCGCCGCGGCTAGGAGTCGAGGTCGTTCTTGAAAGGATGAGACCTCCGAGTTTCCAGGATGGGAGATATGGGGAGATCCCCCATGGCCCATTAAGGACAAAGCCTGGTATAACCAGGCTTGGGGGGCGCACAGTATGGGTTGAAAAACACGAAATTTTGCTGAGTTTGGGATGCTTTGAGGGTATACCCCACAAGTCGGTTTCCATTGTTCAGTAGTAAAATCATGTTGAATCATGCTAACTCTGTCTAACTCCCTATTTTCAATCATGTTGAACTTGAGGCCAATGGGTAAGGGACGAAAGCTTGTTGGGAAGGTAAAGGGAGAAGCAGGAAGGTGTGGTGAAAGAGCCGTGTGTGTGAGGAATCGGGAGATGCGAAGTGGAGAGTAAGTCAGTAATTCTGATGCTGATGATGCTGATAATGCTGATCCCGACGATATGCGACGATATCCCAGGGGAGGTCTGCCACGGCAAAACTGCAAAAAAAAAATGATGGGGGAGCGGGGTACTTAACTGTGAAGTGTCATGTGATTCTTCAGTTAGTTGACGCTAGCTTTGGTGCTCTCTATAAACCCTAGTTAGCCTAATTTTCAAACAACTTAGCTAATCACAGCTTTCCCATGAATTAGTTTTTTTTAATCCTACCAATGTGATTTTTACCCCGTCATCCCGTTGACCAACCTTTTTTTGTGGCGATGAATCATCTTAATAGGGGTCATACCATGGTAATACCAATATTTACATATAATATGCATATATTATCATATATTTATTATCCAACAAATCACCATGTGTAATTGTTCATTGGCTTAGTGGTTTAAAGATCCCACTGGTCTAAAGATCCCACTGGTTTCTTTCCCGCAACCAAAAAACACTGGTAACTATAGCTGGGGAAATTCTGTTCATTGGGTTTACCCTCCAGGACTTCAACACAGCTACGTAAAATCATCATTTCTAACAGGCAAGTCATCGCAAGGGCCATCGTCCTACCATAGCTATGTAACAACCAGAGGATACGTCTGGAGGATCGTCCCACTGATCAATAAGCCACTAACCGTCACTAACCGTGAGATGATCCTCCAATACCCAGTCAATCACCATCAAATCACCATTCAATCGCCATTCAAAATCCTATTCCAATTTTTCGAAAGGAAATTTCTTCTGGAAAATCCCCATTGAACCACCATTAAATCACATTTAAGCCACCCTTCCCTATGGAAATCCCGATGGAAATCCCATTGAACCTGCCCGGCTCTCCGCGCGATGCGCCGCTGCATGGCGGCCCAGGTGCTGGGCCGCGAGGGCGCAGCCATGGCTTTTATGGGTTGGATTGTGATGGTTTTTTGTGGATTTTAGGATGTTTTTTAGGATGTTTATGATGGTTTATGACTATGATGGTTTATGATGGTTTATGATGGTTGATGATAGTTTCTATGATGGAATTATAAAATGATGGCTAAGAGATGATTTGTTGATGATGATTTGCATGATAGTGTATGATGGTTTCTGATTATTTATGATGGTATGTGTGTTCGAGATGTTTGGGGGATGTGATTGAGATTTACGGAGATGTAAATCGGTTCTTGGGGAGTTGCTATGAGTTGCTTAGACAAAAATGGCAAGATTCATTGAGGTCACCTGATGAGTTGAGGGCAGATCTCTGATCATCCAAAAGGGACAGTGGGCATGATCCCAAAAAGTGGGCAGATCGCCTGATCTTTCGGGATCGGGTGAAACTCTGATCACAGTGGCAGCAGAGTGGGTGAATCTCCTGGGCATCCCAGAGTGACTTACCGTGACTTACCGTGACTTACCGTCCATTGAAACGACATGAATCGACGATTACTGTGAAAATTTACACTCGGCTCTTGCAAGCCATGAGTGTTGGTTGACGTTGGTTGTTTCTATATTTTCCATCCAAACTTGCATCATCTTGCATCTTAAGCCTGGTTGGACATAAAAAGTCGTGTGTTTGCAGTTTTGCACCACTGACAAGAGGTAAACTTTCAAGAACGTTCTTCCATCACGAATTCTGGCAGCTAGAAAGCTATGTGTGTGTAATAAATGATAATATATGGAAGAAATGGAAAGTACATGTTCAGGTGTTTGTGCCCAAACAACAGCATGTAGCAGCTCTTCTTTTGAATCGACGGTTTGGTTTTCCCAGCGCAAGCGCATCGCACGCCACGCGTTTCGTCTGTGGCCAGCACCCACCTTTGCGGGCACGCCGCTGAGCCGCACCTGCCGGTTAAGAACAGGCACAGCGGAGAAGATTAGCCGAAAAAATCCGGGCCGAAAAATGAAAACAATTTGGATCTTCTCAGCGGCTTCCATTGCGGATACTCGGAACTCTTGGAACATTTGGAACACTTGGGCTGGGATTGACTGAATGATGGGTACTTGCCTCTCTTACAAGGCGAGACAGGATGAGAAGAGGAAAGTATTCTTATAATTATATCATCTTATATCATCTTATATCAGTTTACATGTTTTGCCAAATCCAAAGCAATGAAAGCCACCGAATCTCACTATTATCCTTTAGATCTATAGCCTAATTCAGCACAGCCAGTCGCGACTTTGCGGAGTGGCAGTGCCTGGCATCCACCGGAGGGGCGATTCTGATGATTCTGATGGATTCTGTGGAAAAACCCTGGCAAAACCCATGGAAAAACATGGAAAAACCCTGGCAAAACCCATGGAAAAACATGGAAAAACCATCTATGAACGCAGAAAAACACGGCCTATACCGCTGGTATCTTCAGCATGTCGTGCATCTGACTGAGGCGCCTCCTCAGCGATTTTGTTCACTACGCCTGGGCGAATCCACGAAGCCACCGCGCTTTTGCTGGGGGAAAGGTTACCCTCTGGTAAACGAACATAGGCTATTGGAAATTGCCATAGAAATGGTTGATTTACCCATGAAACACACCATGGTGATTTTCCACAGCAAACTGTTAGTTTACCAGTTTACCAGGGTAAATGACTAAAATGATCAAAGCATATGGTCAAAATATCCACAAATCTGTGGTGCCTACTTGGGACTTTTCCTCGAGATAAGCCACACAATTTCCCACTTCCCAAAGAATGGTCAAGGCGAGTTCTGGCAGCCTGGCTTTCGTCGTGCTCTGCAACAAACAACATCAATCCCTATTCCACTGCCAAGTTTTTGAAACTGTCATCCCAGATCCCATGCTTCGAAAAACCGGAGGTTTCGTAAATGAGGCTACCCCCAGTTATCATCCATTTCGGGATTTTCCATGGCTATTGGGGTACCAGCATCCCTGGTACCATAGGCCACCCTCTGTGACACCTGTGTGCTACCACAGCCACGACAGCCACCCCTATCGCCTGTAGGCTGGAAAGGAGGCCTTGCCGCTCATTCGCCGGGAGCTGTTCAAAGAGCTCCTGATGCGATGTCATGGCGTCGTTTAAAAAACATAAGCATCAAACATACGCAGGGTTTTGACATGATTAACATGATTAAGATGATTTAACCATGAAAAATAGGGATATGTGATATATGATATAATACATATACATATATAACATGATTAACATGTGTTAACCATCAAAAATAGAGAATGAACATGATTCAACCACTAAAAATTTGGATATCATGATATCATGGGTTTCCCCAACCACACTAAGGCACTAAGGTTTCAATGGATAGGCTGAAAGAGAGTCATTGAGAAACCATCGACTCAACCAATTCTCTTGGAGCCAGGACCTATCAGGACCTCGTCCACATGGCCGCATGAGGAATCCAACAAACTCCGAAATCATCATCCAACAAGAAGCACTATAGATCCAAAAGATATCAAAAGATCATCCGAAGAACTCACCAAAACCTACCTGATCCATCCTGATCCATCGGTTTTCTCTTGGGAAATCCATCAGTAGAACGGACCATGGCGCCCTCCTTGATGTGCGACTTCAAGAACGACGTTCTGATGGACTCGGCTCTTGCATCTACCTGCAGCGAAGCGCTTCGCTCCACCGAAATTCGGTGTCGGCAGGAGGGTTTCTTCAAAATCGCAGATTTGGGTCATAGTTATTGATTACAATAGATTACAATCAATAGTCATCATTCATGATCTTGTCCAAAATACCTCCTTTGGGTCATAGTCGTACTGTCTATTGAATCCTTCGAGTTTGGGCTTAATCGCAATTGCCCAAGTGTCGCACATTTGGCGAATACTTCCTGCGGAAGGATTCCCTGGCTCTTCAATTCTGACCCATGCCATACTCTATCTCGCTGAAGCAAAAAAGTAAGGCTGGGGCAAAGCCAGTAGTAGACCATCTCCAAAATCACCATTTTTGGGGGGTGGTCTTAACCCCTAAATGGCAGTTGTTTGTGGCATTGGGTTTCCCACATTCCCCTTACTCACCAGAATCTATGGTGACGTCAGCTGGGTGCCCAGACATTCTGCGACTCCAACCAGGCGACCTTGGCAATTCTCCAAGCGCTGGAACCACAAACATCATTCTATGTTGCATAGTTGATGTTAGTGGATGTCTATAGTAGGGAAAACCAATGCTATCGAGGACGTAGTGGTTGTGATTCTTTTCCTTTAAACATCCAGTGCCAAATTTCATGGATCTCAATGATGATTTCGGATTCCAACTTCCACTCCTGAAACTCTTCGGCAGGTTTCGACACAAACTGGGGCTACAGCCATCTTCATGTCGCTGTTGAAATCTACGTTGTTTTCTGCTGCCCACTTCTGAATCAAGGCCTGTGGGGATGTGCTGATTCTTGAAGCGCCGGATGTTGAGGAATCCCTATGTGGGGTTGCCCCCAAAAAATGGAGCACCCCTAAAATCCCATGCTTTAAAGCCTCGTGTTCTGTTCATTCATTTTTCCCATGATTCCCTTGGAAACCAAGATAAATTTGGCAATAAATCCACAGTTTCTTTGGGACATCCCCCATATTGTTGGTAAAATTCAGCAAACGTTTACATAATCGCAGCTATTGACAAAATCACCAGGGGAAAATGCATCCATGGTTTACATAGCTCTATGATACTCTATGGAAAACCCGCCATGAATATTCATGAATGTCAGTCATATCCAAACCGGAAACGGCCATCTCCGGGAAACGGCCATCTTCGGGTCCCTAATGGCCTCGCTGTCCTTATGTGTGAGCTTCGTGTCAACCTTCAGATTTCTCCGGAAAACACGACCGATGAAAATCCTGAAGTTTTGTTTGTTGTCTTTGATTTGTTTTTGGTGTGTGTGTGTTTCTGAAATGCATTTTCTCATCCACCTAGAAAATTCTTTAAGTCTGGAATGGTTTGTGGTTTGACCCATCTATCTCAAGACACTGTCCCAGTTTATTCGACATTCACGTGCAAATTGTCAGACCACACCTTCCTCAAGCGGCTAATCAAGTAGTCCTGGCGTCATCTTGCAAAGGCATCAAGAACTCGTTGGTGAAATGTGGTGAATCTATTCATTTTGGGGGTCCCATTTTGGGGGTCCCATTTTGGGGGTCCCATTTTGGGGCCTATCGTTGGGGATTGGATTGGAATGATTGTAAACTAATCCACACAGCATCATGTCCTGCAAGACCCGTCTCTTCACGCGCCAGTAAAAGTATCGACGGGAATCCTTCCTGAGATTGTGGAAAGCCAGGGCAATTTTCCCCGTCAACAAATGGTCATAACTTGATATAACTTGGACAAATCGACCCAATTCCCCAATCCATCTGAGGTTCCCCAAAGAAATTGATGGGGAAATTGATGGGGAAATTGATGGTGAAATCTCAATTCAATCTTTGCTGGTCAAAGAACTCCAAGAATGGTTGACCTCCAAGAATGGCTTCAAGATGGTTTCGCCCATGAATTTCATGGTTTTCAAACCCCAAGATCTGAACCCTGGTCAAAGTTCCTTTCATGTAATGTCGCGAACAACAAAAAAACAACCTGGGTCGATTTCCAGATATGATCAGATTGTCTTTCCTATTTTTTTCCATGACATTTCTGGCACCCACCCAGATTTTTTTTTTTTCCTATCCATCCCCCTGGGGCCCCCACCAGCTGATGCTATCTCGGATCACCCCCTTGGCCTTCATCCGTCCCGCGCGGTCGTGCAGATCCGCAAAGGTGGTCTGAGAGGAGCTGCAGCAGCTGCAGCTTGGGATGGGCCAAGATGTAACTGGTTATAAAAACACGGCTTGGTGCGAAAGGTTTATAAAGTTTATACTCTTCAAAGTGGGAAAAAATTCACCAAAATGCTGAATCATCAGATAAGATGATTTAAGCCTTGAAGAATGGAAATGGGTCCAGATGGGTTGTACCCAACTGGACAAAC